AAATTGCTTGTTGCTTCCCGAAGATACTATCCAAGGACGTGTCACTGAATGGTGCTGGTGTTCTCCAGGATGGTGAACTGAGCTCACTACACGCCACTCCTTTTGGAGTCGTTTTAATCGCTTTGTGTAGTTACTTTTTGACCTCCTTCAAGGCTTTCCGTTGACAAACAGAGGTGGGTGTGAGGAGTTTCCCTTTTCAAGGGAAAGTTCATATGGCGTGTGTGATTGATGTTCGTGTTTATTTTCAGCAAAGGTCATATGCCATTTTTCCCCATTTTCGGTAACGTTTGTTCAAAAGTACAAATTTGAATAAAAGGTTAGTATCACATTCCCAAGCCCTGGAATTGAACCTCTTTTTGTTCTTTTCTTTCGCTACTTTCTGCCTTGATTTGTTGAAACCTTGCCTTTTTCCATCCGGACTAGGATAATCGTGAAACTGCGATATCACTTTGGTAACTTTGCCATTGCAAACCTTTGAAGATTTATCCACAGATAATTTATGCTCTCCCGTTATGTTTACATAATCGTCGCAATCAGATTTGTTAATGATATGAAATAGCCTTCGTTACCGCACCACCAATGTGTCCAGTTTATAAAATTCACAAGTTCAGACGCATCTTCAGTGCAAAGGAAGCAACGAAATGGACCACTATCAACAAGTTGGTAGTTGTAATGTATAAAGACTGAAAAAGTCAGGAAATTGCTGCTGAGTGGCTTCTTGCAAAAACTTATGCCACAAATCTATGCGAGAAGTGCGCGTTCTTGGGACATGTAGAGGTGGTTTTCTGCGCACTATCAAGGCAAGGGTATGGTAAATGAATTGCCACAGCATCGGAACTCTTTGAACCGTCCTAATCTGAATGTTCCCTTTCTATCATAGCTGAAAAGTGTATTAATCGCTTTAGCAACAGTTTTAAAGCTCCTCGTCTCAGGAATGTCCACCAATGCGACGGGTCTGCAGTGTCTGTGTTCTCATTATTTCCTTCCTTTTTTCACTTTATCTTCTACACTCCATCATAGGCATATCCCTTGGTCTGGCAAGGTCGACTCTCCCTCAAGAACTCTGAAGTCAGTGTTGCCCTGCATTACGTTCAGGGGAACGCGGATCTCCTCCGCGCCTGCATCTCCACCCTGGCAGCAGGGGGTGGAGGTAGCCCTCAGCAGGCTCTGGTGACCTCTGGGGGCCCGTTGCGCATTGTACAACGCATGCGCCTGGAGGCATCTCAGCTGGATGCGGTGCAGCGGAAGATCACACAAGAGGGAGCCTCCTGCGCTTGTGTCGCTTTCGCCTCGGGTGCAAATCGGGCCGATCTGGCGCAACAGAATGTAGTCCTCTCAGACGGTTTCATCCGCTATATGCTAGAGAAGGGTGCTGCTGGAATTATCAACGTCGGTCAGCCTGGAGCTGTTCAAGTGAGCTGCATCGCTGCTTGCTTTCACTGCCGTTTTGCCTATTAGGTGGCATTGGGAAGGTCTAGATTACGAAATTCTTTGTCGGCAGGGTTTTGTTAGAACCTTTCCTTTCTCGTCATCCTTGCATACGTTCTATCGGTTTACTTGATTCCTACCATTTATGCCGTTTTGTAAGGTGTGAAATTGCTCACTTCGGAGGTAATTAGGGGGTGATGGTTTTATCAGCGGGATTTTATTGTAATCAAATTCTCCCCACGTCATCCCTCCCAATTCAGTGTAATTTGTAATATTTTCTACCACTTCGGTAAGGATTTTCAGTTTAAATTTAACTTCAGGTGTCATTCGCACTTTCTGTGGTTTTAAAACATAAGCTGAATGCAGGCAGCATATCCGAGCAAAGCTGAACCGGCTTTCCTTGAGCTTCCTTAAACCATCTTCACTATTAGAGTTGTTCATAGTTGGTTTCCCTCGTCAAGTCGCGACTCCTTTGAGTGGTCCTTATCACTAATTCTCTTTGTTCCTGGTTCCGCTTGTTTGAATTGCTTTGTAGAAAACATATCTTCTTTATAGTAGTTTTCCTGTCAATGCTAATGACTCCTACCTCGTGAATTTTGTCAATATTCACTTCTTCACACCCCATAAAACTTTATATTATTGTGCTGATGACCTTGTAGTTGCAATCCACAGCGTGGGAGTTCGTTCCAGGCATCTCGAGAGTAATCCAAACAGTAATTTACGACCTTGCACTTATATTTTAATTGAACTGTTGTATACCCCACTTTTCTTGCATCTCCTACCTTCTTTGATAGCTTCGCCACTACCAGAAACGTTAACTCAAGTGTTTGCGTCTTCGGTACACTTTTTTGGGTGTCGCTTACCTTATTCCTTCTAAGAGAACTTCGGAAAACGCCTTTTTTAGTCAAAACACTCCTAGGCTATTTATAGACTAGTACTTTGGAGAAAAGACTTGTAATTTCTATA